AGGGATTAATGTTATTACATTTTGGTGATTAAAGGTAGAGGGAATCTTGTGTATCTCCAGTCGGGTCAAACTTAATGACAATTTCACTTGTTAGCATTTATAATTTTTTTTATAAAACCCATCCCTACCCTCAAAATTAAACTTTTTGCCATTTTTAATAATTAAAAATATAAAATGTGATAACAGATGGCACCACTAAAATTTTAAATGTTTCCGGGAAAGTTGAGCAAATTGTTGGTACTTTATTTTATTTATGATGATTATTAGATTTTATGGGAAAGATATATGCTGCTTTTCATTAACTGTATGTAAAGTTGATTTATTGAATGAAAATGATTTGCCATGCAAATGACACAAAAAATAGCTTGGAAAGTGTTAACATGTCTAACCATTCAAAATAATTTTTTTATTCAGCACTTTAATGACAAAGTTACATCCTGGATCTTATTTTTTTAATTGCACTTTATATAAAATGCTCTAACTTTTTTGTAAATGATAATTTGGCTTGTATATTTAATCAGACTAAAATAAATTATTTTATATTATCTTTTATAAAAAAAATATTGTTTTGAAGACATCCCAATATAGTTTAGATACTAACGAATTAAAACACTCACAAGACCTTACAGATCTGATGTCATGTATCTTGATGAAACTTTTTGGGTGGTTATGAAATACTAATATACACATCAAGTAAAATGATTTTTCACCTGGTGTGTATGTTTGAAAGATAGAAGGTTATAATAATTGATCTGTGGCATATAGTCAAGCATGACAGTTCAACAAGTTCTTTGGTAGTGCTGTGGCAAAGTTGTGGTACTGTCATTCGATGCTATATTTTTGTCCTGGATTGTTCCTAAGGCATACAATTTTTTTCTTGTTTTATTTGTTAATTTTTCATTACACTTCATTTTAATGTAATCAAGTAAAATTAAGTAATTAAAATAAATTCAATTATTTTTATATTTCATTATTGCCAAGTATGACAATCATTTTAATATCCTGTTAGATTTTCTGAAAGTTACATTTTCTAGATACCCAGAAACCATTCTACAAAAAACACTCTTAGATGATCATTGAAGACAACATGTGCAAAACATACTATGACTGAGCAGTAATCACAAACACAACAAATTCATCACATTCATTGACAAATGAAACAAAATTACAAACTGTACATAATGAAATATTCCTTTACTTACATGAAAGAGAGAAGCAGCATTTAGCTAATGAAAATAATGATCCTTGGATTTTTTTCTATGTAAATTTCTGGAATAGGAAAATACTTAGTATTTCTACAAAATTTGACAGGATTATAGAATGATTGTCACAGTTGAGTTAATTATCTTTATATTTTATCATCATGGTTTTAGTGAAATGTAAAATTATTTTAATTTAATATAATGAGATTAAATATTTTATACTTTTTAAATTTTAATAGGAATAAAATTACTTTCTTCTCAGTACTGGAAAGAATCAAAAATCCATTTTAAAAACCTTTAAAGTCCAGTAACAAAATTTCTTAATGTAAAAAATTTTTGAAAAACATTTTTGACCTTACTCAAGGTCAGTCTTAGGTTTTTAAATTAACAATATTCCAAATTGGAATACACAGAATAACTTTCCAAAATATTATTTTTTAAACAGTAATAAATATAAATTTAATATACTAATAAAAATTAAATTATGTCGGCACTTCCTGGTTTATCGTAAAAGCATTGCCATGCATACAAGACTGTTCTTTCATCCTTAAAGTTTATACATTTGCCAGTCAGGTCAGCCTTGTATTATTTCCAATGCTTTTATGGTTCCAATGTGATTGGTTTGAAATGATTGCCTTATTAATGTGGCATTTTGGAGATTGGCTTGCATGTTATGCTCAGTGGTGTAAAAAGTTAAGACTGAGGCAGACCTTGAGTAAGATCAAAAATGTTTGTGAAAAATTTTTTACACTAAAAAATTTTATTACTGGACTTTAAAGATTTTTAAAGTGTATTTTAATAGGAATTTGTTAGATTTATAGTAGTAGTATTTATTATTTACAGTAGAAATAATAATAAATTCAAATAATAAATTACAGTGCTAATATTATTTTCAAATAAATAAAAATGATTAACCTACTGGTCTTATTGTTATGATTACAGATTCATCATACACCTTTTCATTTTTATACATTAACAGATGATGTCCTAAAATGGGTTTCAGCTTATTTAATAGCCCTCTTCAGTCACGTTACATATAAACATTTCAACATCATGATATTATAATTAAAAACATATAAAAGAATCTAATAATGAAAATAGAATTTTATAATATATTCAAGCTGAGTTGATGATGATGATAATCGCTGAGCCCAAATGGTTAGGCATCGAAGTTTGGTACATAGTTAGGGTACACCTGAGAATGCACACTAAAAAGAGATTTTTGGAAATTCCCTCCCGAGAGGGAGAAGGTTAAGGATTACCCTGAAGAACTCTGCTTCTACTTTAGATCTGATTTCATTCGTTTTGCAAGAAATTGAATATATTTTTAGACCCATCTAAAAATTCTCTAATTATCCTCAGAAGTGGGGAGACCTAATTATTGCACCTGGTGAAAACGGGTAAGATCAGCTATATAACTAAAAAGGTTATCTTACATTAGGGTTTTTCACACTGAATGACCAATCTAACACATTTTAAAATTCTTTATTCCTCCACTGTACACAATTTAAAGAATTTTTAAAATGTGTTAGATTGGGCACTCAGTATGATAAACTCTTACATAAGATAACCTTTGTAAATATAAATCAGATAAATATAATATAGTAGAAGGGTTAGAAGTATGAAATAATCTAATATTTCTTAATCTTTGCTGCTGTTATTTTTTGCCCAAGCAATGCCAGGCTCATCTGCTAGTGTACATAAAAACTGATATTTATATTACTATATAACTAACCATGTGCAATATTATAACAACAATCTTAAGAGAAACATTTGTAAAAATTGATGCTAAATTACCAAACACTGTAACACTTAAAGTTAATTCTATACTTCACAGACTCTGTTTTGTGATATTCAGTTCTTGATGGTGCTTTCATTTTGGTATATTCTTTATCTTTGTTCAACCATGAAATTGAAACCAGCATATTTTATGTCAAACTGCATTCTGGGACATCATGCATTAATGCAGCGATTCCCAACCTGTGGTACGCGTACCCCTAGGGGTACGCGATAGGTTGTTTAGGGGTACAGAAAAAAGTTAGTTATTATGGCAGAAAAAATAATATATTATGTATCACAAACTAATAGTATTAAAAAATTATTAGATAAAAAATGTTCCTTGCAACAATCACAACTTTATTATACATTTTTTCTTTTAGGTTTTTTTTATTTAATTTAAAGTTACAATATGTAAAATTAACAATACGGTTACTCACTAAATTTCTTAAATGAGGGGTACAATCTAGAGATATGACATGTCGAGGGGTACAATCTAGAGATATGACATGTCACGGGGTACGCTAATGAAAAAAGGTTGGGAACCACTGCATTAATGAATATAAATTGGAAAAGTGTGTGATGAATCTGTAATCATGACAATAAGGCCAGCAGGCTCATAGTTATTTATTACTAATTAACAGACAATAACAGATTATATGCTTATATCAAAGGATAAAAATGATTAGTTGATTTAAAATGAACTGTAGAAAGTTTTTATTATTACGAACTTACAAACTGTTTGTATAGAAACATTTAAGAATATTTTTTAGGTTGTTTGTTTTATATATTATATTTAAGAGAAAAGTTTAAAAATTGTTATAGTTTATTGGTAAATTGATAGAAATTTTAATTATAAGTTATAAGCTTTTTAAAATTTATGATTGATTAGTAAAGCATAATTTATATATTCTGTTTAGAAAGACTTTATATCATCAACAATCATTGCATGTGAATATATGTATGAATATATGGATATACATAAACATCTGTTCAAAAACTTTTATAAAAAATTTATTATTTTAATACATAGAATATTTAATGTTCTTTAGTACTATATTTTTATAATTTAATTTCTATTTATATAATTATGTAAATAGTGTAATAATTGTATTGAGTTTTATGTAAGAAGAATTCATTTCTTTTGAAACAATAAAATCACTTCAATTAAATTTATTGAGAATATTAACTTTAAAAATGAGGAAAAGAAATATCAAAATTAATAATTTTTAAACTAATTTAACAAAATTACATAAACCTTAAAAATGTATTAACGTCCATTTGAAAATGCTAATTTTTGTTATTTTTTTGTAATTTTAATATAAATATGATTTTGTTTTTAATGTCATTAATAACCAAAAATATTTATTTCTTTTAAAGTTTTATTTATTTTAACAACATTTTTTATTTTATTTTAAAATTAATTTAATAATTATGTTTAACTATCTTATATATTTGTTATTATTATTATTATTATGATTATTATTATTATTATAAAAATACTGAAAGTTAAATTCATAAATTGTATATTTTAAATTACATCACTAAATTAAGAATAATTTGCACAGATTAAATGCACAGATTTTTTTTACACTTTATTTAATCATTACCTCCTTTTTTAAACAAACTATGTTATTAATAACATCTACTTATTATAAATACCATTATTTACATAGAAGTAAAAGTAATTTATTTCGTTACCCTTTCTCCCCTTTTCATGCCCTGTCCATCATTGCCTGGTCCCGGCCCTGGCCCTGCTACCTGTGATGTACTTCATACCTCTGCAATTGAATGGCCTGATCCAAATGAAACAATTTTCCTGCTTTACTTATGGTATCTTCTGGATAAACAAACCATGGGGTGTTATGTTTGTGAATTCTTCTGTATGATAATCTACATGGAAAATCAAATATGATCATCTGTCAACATTGATATTGTTTCTGTTTATATGACATCATTTGTGCCCACGCCCATGCCCCCTTTTCTCTTGAACTTTAACCCTGCGGAATGTGAACCCTCCAGTACAAAGCAAGTGTTACAGTGCCCGACTGCCCTGGCCCTGAACGGTATGAATCAGACGCCAATCCTATTCAATGTTATAGAATATTTTTTTCTTTTCTTTTTTTTTTTAACCATTTAAGTGGTCATTAGTAGAGAATTTCACATTTATGATAGCTTTTAATTTTAATTTAACATTTTGACATTTCTTATCAGGTGATTTATTATTATTTTTAACTTCTGTTTTGTTCATGTGATAAATAAATTCTTCTAATACAGGTAAAATTAATTTAAATTTTTTGTTCTACTTAAAGACTATAATCATTTAATATGCAAATATTAATGTAATATTTGCAATTAAATTGGGATGATGATAAATTCAGATTAGTTTAAGAAATAAAGTTAATTTAAATCAGTATTAATGATATAAATGTTTATAATATCAAAATTACAACAAAAATTTGGGTGTAAATTTTAATAGTTTTAATTATAACCTAAACTAATTCAATTTCATATTTAATCTTATCATATTCATATAGGTTTATTAAAATATTGTAAAATTATAATATCTGTAAAGTATGGTAATTAAATTTGTTGTCATAAAAATTGTAATAAGTTATTCCTCTTGGAATCTCTTTAATAAATTTTGATTTGTATGATATTGATATTGTTGATATTAAATTATAATAATAGGATATATGTTTTTCATATAGAATAATTATTTTGCTGATTTTACAGATATTATTACTATATTTAAACTCCATAAATCCTCAAATTTAATTTTAATATTTTGTTTTATTTCATGAATTTTGTGAACAATAACTTTTATTTTCAGAGTAAAGAATATATATAAAAAAATTATATAAATATATATATATGTATAAAAAAGTATGTTGAGACATTTGTTATTATAAACATTGAAATTATAAAAAAATTAAACAAACATACATTACCTTTAAATCACATTATGCCCTTTCTCATACTTTATTACAGTTCTCTTGTATTTTTTGTATTATACATTTAACTTGCTTTTATATTTAAGAAGTTAATGTAATTTAATATAAAAATAAAGTTTTTATAAAATTTTATACCAAAAAAATATTGAGATATATCATTAAATATTTAATTAATGAGAGAACTAAAATTTTATTTATTGATTATTTTGAAATGTTACAAAAAGTATTCTTATATACATATATTATATATATGTATGATTAAAGCATTAAATTCACTATTTTATTTCTTATATTAAAAGAAATTTTTTTTCAAAGAAAAAAACCTCAAAAACACATTAGACATTAATCTTTGGATCATTTGATTTCTCAAATGGCATAAAGGTTTTGTGATTCCCATTTCTTATACTTATGATGATTTCCTCCCCTGATACATAAAAAATTGCATTATCCCTAAATCTCTATTTCTATTGGTAATTGTTATCTGCTTTGACTTTTGACAAAATGTCTTGGGCAAATAGTGACATTTATCATCCAGCTGTAAAGCCTACACAAACTGCAGTTTGTGGGTGTGGAGGCAAAGGCAGTTACGAACAACCGTCTAAGCAGTCATTTATTGGCATACCTATCTGCACAGAAACTTATCTACCTGATTTTTGTGGGTTTTGAGAAAAGACTTTCTGGATTTAATTAACATTTTTCTGCAAAGTCGTCAGTCTTCCTTTTTCTTTTTTTTGTTGCTGAATACTACCAGTCTCTTGAAATTGATTTAACAAATGTACGATAGTATTATCTGTAGATTGCATTGTGATTTTGGTTTCATTTTAAAAAATTAAAGTGCATGCATGCATGCATGCATGCATGCATACATACCTACATACATTGCTTTCTCTTAAATAGTTGTCATTTTGAAGTATGACATCACATTGTCTTCCAGACATCAAATGTGGTAAGTACAGCATTGTTAAAGGAAACTTTGAGTTTTACTTTTATATTGTTTAAGCAGTTTATTTTGTTGTTTCTGATTGGAAAATTATTGAACACACAAACCCTGACAAGTTTAGTATCTCACTATGTTTGGCCAGTTTGTTTTCAGTTGCTGTGTGCAACATACTAGGATATCTCATGATAAATTTTAAAAATTAAACAGTAAATTTTAAATTTTGCAAAAAAATAAAAAAAATGTAGTTTTATATATTGTCAGTTGTATTTCAAAAGTTTGTATAGTATCTAAAAGTATCAATGGACAATCATAACATAAGTCTGGAGAATTGCCTACTGGCATGTCTACTTGTGAATACTCTTGGTTACATTGATAAGATTTGAATATTTTTACTTTGACTGAAGGTAACACTTTAATGGACTGGTTGATTATAACTAACCTGTTGAATGGTACAGCGTAGTAAAAATAAAGTGTGCTGCAATATTCATATTATTATTATTATTATTAAAATGTTCCATAAATTCAAAAAAACAGATTGAGAACCATTGTATTCGGCAATAATATAGTTTTAAAAAAGTTGGATTATAAGATCATCACCGCACCTCATAAGATTAAATCTACAGTCTTGATAAGAAAATGCAGAAAGAATTCAATGATGAAATTAAGCTGTTGAAAAGCTAAGTTGTTTATATTATCAAAATTTTGATATAATATATTTGATTTAATAAATGACATTAAATCATTTTCCAGATTGAGAGTTTATTAATTTTATTCATATGTAAAAAATGCAGTTTGGATCTTGCATTATTTTGTTTTCTGAATTATAATAATGTCTAATAGGAACCTTTATTCCAAAAAATACACTGGAATCAGAAAACACATGACGTTACTGGTAGATGTTCTTTTTCAAGAAGTGTTGAATTACATTTTTGTGTCACTGAGCATGTAGAGGACATTGTTTTAAGAAAGGATTAAAACATTTGAAAATTATAACTATAAAGGAGAAGACAAAATGTCTCTTGTGATTTAGAAAGAGAATTTCCTATTTGGGTGCACAGAGCAACTTAAGTGGATTCACATTAGGACCATAGTCTGGTTTGTATGTCTTCACCAGCAGTTACCATAGAAACAAAATGTTGACAACAGATGAGGCATGATATAGTATGATGTTTAGCTAATCAGTTTTCAACAGAGCAATAACCATCTTAAAGAAATGAGTCAACCAATGAAGATGTATGCAAATGTCACAACCAATACAAGACATTCTTTTATGTTTACTTAGTTTGGAATGTGGTGTCACCTAGTAACTATATAACATTTTGCATGGAACAAAAGAAAAAGTAGAGAATTTTAACAAAATGAAAAGGAAAGATTTTAATGAAATGTTAGTAGAGGAGTAAGGCATATGTGATAGTATATCTCATTGGTGAAGATTTATGTTATTTGAGAACTGAACTGCCTAGAGTGTATGCACATTCCATTTTAGCACTGTTGGATGATTTTGACTGATGTGGCAGCTATGATAGTTCTAGTGAGACTTTGCCAAAACAGAAAAAATTTACCAAGTATATTTATTCTTCATAATAAGTTAAAGGAGATGCAAAATGTGCTTATAAAGTTGATGTTGTCTATCAGTATTTATCAATACAATTGAAACAGTCAGTGAAGTGTTTGCAAGAAACCCTCATAAAACATCTTGCTTCAAGGGAGGTATAGAAATCAACCATTTGTGATGTCATACATAAACAGCTAATGTTGTGTGATTATAAAATCTAGATGTTACAAATGCTAGTCTAATGATTTTCTATATCACAAGATGTTTGCAGAGGATAGACAACGAATATCTGAATAAAATTTTAGTGATGAGACAATTTTTCATAAACTGTTATAATCTGAAAATACAGGATTCAGATATGTGAATGCATTAATAACTGAAAAGAAAATATGTAATTTGAGTGCTTTGTGTTATCATAATATTGAATTATTTTTTTATGCTTTTAACTCTCAAATGCTACATATTAGAATATGTCAGAAGGTTAATATTGTTCATAGCTACATTCAGCTGATGTTTATTTTCCAAGAAGACTGCATCCTTTCTTTATAATGAAGTTATTTAGTGTAAGATGTTTTGGATATAGTGTTTCTCATTTGCTAGATTGGACATAGCTTTGTTTCTCATTCTTCTTGATTTCTTGACAAAATCCCACTAGATATCTCTAAGAGAACAAATATCAGATGTTCTAGAAGTTTATATTGTTATTGGCTGAGGCTGACATGAAGGTCAAAAACATGTCCAATTAAGAAGATTAATAGGATTTGGCTTCCATAACATGCAGTGACATAAACATCTATTGAAGCTTGCTTTGTCCATCTTTTCATCAAAAAGAATATTTCAAAATCACTTATAATAATTGTAAGAATATGGGTAGAAGGTGTATTCTTCATAACTTCCATGTTTAAATCTCTCTTCTTTTTTTTTGGAAATTTGTCATTTTGATTAGTGACAAATATTTTTCCCTAGCAGATAAGATCAACATGGTAAAATGAGATTGTAATTTACAAAACAGAAAACTTACCATAAAGGTCATTTATTGGCATACCTATCTGTACAGAAACTTATCTACCTGATTTTTGTGGGTTTTGAGAAAAGACTTTCTGGATTTAATTAACATTTTTCTGCAAAGTCGTCAGTCTTCCTTTTTCTTTTTTTTGTTGCTGAATACTACCAGTCTCTTGAAATTGATTTAACAAATGTACGATAGTATTATCTGTAGATTGCATTGTGATTTTGGTTTCATTTTAAAAAATTAAAGTGCATGCATGCATGCATGCATGCATGCATACATACCTACATACATTGCTTTCTCTTAAATAGTTGTCATTTTGAAGTATGACATCACATTGTCTTCCAGACATCAAATGTGGTAAGTACAGCATTGTTAAAGGAAACTTTGAGTTTTACTTTTATATTGTTTAAGCAGTTTATTTTGTTGTTTCTGATTGGAAAATTATTGAACACACANTTCATTCTGCTGTTACCTGCTAACATTGTTGCCAGTTTACAGGACAATTATGCAATGTTTCAAACTTTTAGTGCACTTTTAATGTTTTCACTTGACATTCCCTCATACAGATATAAACATCTACCAAAACCCGATGCTTAGCAAATAGA